CTTACCTCAACTCCTCAGTTTATGTTGCCCAGCTGCATTATCAATTATCCATTTAAATTCAGAGGGAAGCAATTGCATCTTAAAAAGGGACTACACAAGCTTCAAGATTATTTCCATGGGGTCACACTGCCTCTGCTAATCTCCACAGAAGTTTCCACTGCAGGTGTTACAAGGTCCTGAAGACTGGAATTTCTCCAGCATTGCTTAACTGAGAGGCAGGAGCTTATCTGAGCTCTGGACGGGATTAGAAGCAAGTACACTTTTTACAGTCCACTTATTTTTGATCCTAAGCAGGAGGAGCAGCAAGTAGACTGCTGCATGCCCCTAGCTTTTATTTAGCTTTGACCTGCTCAACCCCCATTGACCATTGGTATGTAGAAGCATCAGCTTTTAGGAAAGAGCGAAAGCACAGAGACTTTCAACTTGTAAATAACCTGAAGAGCAATTCTCTTCAGCAATTGTTTCTCACCTTCTTGGCTCAGAGTTGAGGTATGCAGGGGCCCCTGACTTGGAGCAGCATATAAAATGGAGTGCATCACAGAACAGACTGGCAGGCTCTAGCTCAGACCAGACACTAACAGGCCTAGGACTATGCCTCGATGTGTTTTAAAGTCAAGTTGAGACCAGGTAACAGTCAGAGAGGGCAAAAATGGTTCCCTAGAAACTGTCACTATAACGTAAGTGACAGATGAGTCATGTCTCACTTAACTGACTAATCTTCAGTAAGCTGAGGCAGACGTGTAGGCAGATATGTAAATTCATGAGGAAAAAGAGTACCTTCAATAACATCTAAACCCAAGCATTACTATATACCCCATCACTGTTCCCCACACACAGTGTATCTACACACACTGGCCAACAGGCTCCACAAATACTTCGTCAGCACTATTTAGATGCAAGAATTACTTGAGGCGAGCAATGTTTAGCATGTGTTTATTTGCACAAGAATTTCAGAATCATTAAGGTCCAAAACCGAATTTCCAACAATGACAAGCGAACACCACAGTGCAGAACAGTAGACAAAGTTACTGTGACCAATCTCACATTTGGGCTCATCACAAATCCAAATATTTCTAGTACTTTGTTTTGCCAGCTTAAAAAAAAGATTCACTTCTTCCAAAGAGGTACAAGACAGATTTTCCAAGAACTGACTTTTTAATAGTAAAAAATAATATAAGACATAAACATAGAAAAAAAGGCCTTCTAAATTTCAACAGAAAGGGCAATTTTAAGAGACAAGCCCAATCCAGACACTTCAGTGAGTGGCCTTCTCTTCCAATACAAGTGAGAAAAAAGTGCTCCAACCATTCCCCCCAAAGCTTCTACAACTATAGCCCAGCATCCCACCTTATAACTAGTTTCATTGAAATTAAAGAACATATATGAAATACACTTCATATTTAACAAATGGTTGATTGAGACTTAGATGCAAAAGCTAGAAGTATTACTATCCATTTGGCTCTCCCAATGCCCAAATTGGACCAAACTGCCAGTGATTATGGTCAACTTATTGCTTATTCCTGTGCCTAACAATTATGGCACCCTGATTGAATGAGTTGAGTGAGAGAGACAGTAAACAAGTACCATTAATACACTGACAGCTTAGAATTGAAGCAATTTTGGACAAGTTCTCTTTTAGGAGGCCTTTTCCCAAGCACTCATATAATAAGCAGAGATGACTACCAACATTAGTAGTTATTCTAGCGATCAGAAACCCACAAAGGCTAGACACAAAACATACCAAATGCTTAACCCCATAACTCAATCTCAAAATATGGGTCTTCAAATACCTAAAGCTTTTTATTGAAATTTAGACTAGATTTAAATACTACCTACTGCTTTGTAGACAAGATTATTAATGTTAAGTGTGAGGATCTTTTGAAAAATGGTTACTCAAAAGCAAGCAGTAGTCTTCAACCTCCAGCGTCGTGACTGACTGAACGAGCTGAGGACAAACACAGCAACAATTAAACCTTGAGCTGAGGTAGCATGAAGTATGCTTCACCTAACAATTTTTCATGGTGACCATGGATCAGCATAGGAATTTTACCAAAGTGACTAAAACCCAGTCTACTACTATACCAAATGGGTAGTATCCTTCTCAGATCTCCTTCTCAGATTTAAAAAAAAAAAATCTCTTACAATGAGGAAGTCACACCAATAAACTGTAAGTCAAGGGGGACCTGGCAATAAATATTGACAACAGATGTTTAACCTCAGACTAGCTTAGCCCTGCAGAGCTTATAAGCTACAGGAAGAAAAGAGCTATTTTAAACTGCACAGCCTAGTTTACTAGAAGCCTAGTCCTGAGGAATGATGCACTGATACAAGATCTGCACTCTTGCGTTACCGCAGCTTTGTTTTGATGCCACTGCCCAGAGGGAATGTGTTAGGGTAATCGTCTGAAGTATAGTAGTCTTTCTCCAACCTCCATTTGACACACAAGTGAGTAACAGAGAATACAGCAAGTTTGCGGAGGCATCATTAAGTACTGGAAGGAGACTGAATCAAGCAGGCAGCCTAGACTTGGCCTAGGGTCATGACTTTTAACTTTTACCTAGCAAGGAGTAACATGAGAATGAACACTATGGGGGCCACCATAAACCTGAATTCAAACCAACTAGCACACCAAATTAAGCCACTGCCACATGCAACACCAGGCTGCTAGGACAACTTGAAACAGAAAGGGGTAGACTGCTTGCAACACACTTATGAAAAGCTACTGAGTAGTCCAGCTTTACCTGCCAAACCAGGATTATTTTGAAGACAATTAGATGAACAACGTCCCAGCAATCCCTTATACAGTAGGGCCAATGCAGTAGCTAGTGTGCAGCTTCAGGATACAGTTTAACTATTCAAGAGCTTAACATCTTGTAGCCAGGCTACAAAGCGTCAATATTTCTAATATGCCAGAGCAATTTAAGAAACAGACAGGGAACACGGCAGTCCTGCAAAGCTTAAGCCCAGGAAGTCAGCTGTTCAGAGAGCAGCCATGCAACACAGAGCTTCCTTAGAGGCATCAGCAACAAGTTACATCAGCCAAAGCACATTATTTATGGCAGAAAGCTTAAACCCTCCATAGCTCTATCTCAGTAGGAATCCATTAGAGCCTTTTTTCTAGCACTTCCTTTCCCAATAGATGCTCCTGGCCTGATGTTCAGCGGCCAAGGCATGTAAAGACTAGTAAAACATAAGTCTGCCTGTTCCAAGCTCATGAGGACTCCTTCTCAGCATCTGACCACTTCTTCCACATGAGGTGATGCACAGGAACAGTTTTTATAGATCAGTCATGAGACCACACAAGACAAGATACATGAGCCTAAGCTATCTGAATGCAAATCAAACATGTCCCTCTAGGCTACAGTTTACTTCTGCAATGGCTATAGCTTAGGTTGGCTTTAAAAACGTGTATTTAAGAGACGATAGCAATCACAAACTCCTAAGCAAGACCTCCTTCTTTCTAGTGACACTCTATACTAGGCTAAGTATTGCCTTGCATGCAGAAGTTATTCATGCCTAGGTTTGCGTTCCAGTAGTAAGCACGCACTCAGTTGAACACACATGGCAACACTGGCATCACATTAGTTTTTAAAAAGCCTTCCAAATAGTCAAAGCCTTGGGTGAGAGATGCCTTATCTGGAAGCTGCACCAAGTCCAAGCCACAGTTAATGAAAGAGGCTGGGTTCACTTTCAAGTTTAGCTACTTTGGCTGACTAATCAGGAAGCCTTTAATGAAAAAAAACCCACACAACAGAATACACCAAATTATTTGTCTAGTTGCTACTGAAGTTGCTTACAAGACTGTTCAAAAAATAAAGCTAAAGTATGCTTGGCTACAGTGTGCTTTCTAGATCGTATCCCTCCCTGTCTTTCTAAGCTAAATGAAGAAGTCTGAATAAAAGAGTAGCCTTGCTGCTCTACTGAGGCAGTCTTTATGAAGTAGTTATGAAGAGTCAGAGAACTTGCAATGTAATTAGAAGTTTTTGGTCCTATAAGGAACAGGCAGTTTTTTACTGCCATTTAAGTGCTGTACTGCTATTGTTTCCCACCTTGAACAGCAACCATACATTGGTGTTTCACCTACTTTCTGCTTTACCTTCTAAGCTTAAATCTTTTGTTTGATCAGGTACTTTGGTCTCACAAGCTTACAGAGACAGCTAGAAGTCATAAAAAAGGTTTAGCAAACCAGTATTCTTGAACATTGCATCAGTAGATATTAAATAGCTCTATGACTTGCCTTTCTAGTCTACTTCTCTGGTTAAGCAAAAGAAACTCAAGATCATCTGCTATATGTATTTTACTATTGCAATTCAGTGAAAATCATCCAGTTAGTATAGCAGTTTCTAATACCACTATATACATAACTGGAGAATTTTTAACCTTCCTTATAAAGCACAGGAATTTCAAAGCAGCAAGTTCAGCACATACCCTTTAGGGAAAATCAGCCCACTACACCTCCAAGGGAGTACATACTCTTCCAGAGGCTATTCTGAAAACAGGGGCAGACTTTCAACACATACAGTTTCTGCAGAGAGCTCTGCTTAGGGTTTATATACCTCTGGAAGTGAGGGTTAAGACCAGTGAAGAGAAGAATTTTACCCTAACCACTCAAAATACCATCTTGTACAGTGACCAGGTGATAGTGATAAACCAGTAAGCTCAACCCTTAAGTGGTGACAGAAACACAAGCCTTCAGGACCTGCCTGAAGTTGTACAATAAGAAATTCATTTTACAAGGCACTTTAGGAATTTATACCATGGCAGGAGTGCACATCATCCTGCAATATACAGTGGTTTGTTTTTTGGGGGTTTGTTTGGTTTTTTGCTTGCTTGCTGTGGACCTGTGAGGAAGAAAGTTGGGCCTAAACCTCAGTGTAAAGAGCTGTGCTACTTTCCAACTGTGCCAAAAATTGTTCTGAAAGATGCAATCAGAAAGGCTTTATCTTCAGCCTGGACTCAACAGTATTCTTCCATCCTAACTATTCAAACTGTGGTTCCAATTCTATTTAAGGCTTCAACTCCTCATTTCAAGGACTTTTCACATTACCAAGTTTTAAATCGTGCTTTGGTGCATGTTTAGAGATGCCAGCATCCAAGTTTTTGTACTCAAGAAAAATTTAGCCAGCTTATGCTTTAGAGACAGACTTACTAATCCATCTTCAACTTCCAAGAAATTAATCTTGAACTTGAGGCAGGACCATATATCCCTAGGTACTACAGCAAACAACATTTAGGCCCTCTACAAGACAGAGTATCCATACTGTTACCAGTTCTACACAGCCAGAAAGTACAAGCAGCCCAAGCATGACACAAGCCCACTCTTGCACAATTAGTTCAATAGAAAGTTGTCCAGAACTTAAACTGAGGAAGTGTAGAGTAACAAGGTTAGGCAATAGAAAGCAGAGTTTTGCTGCTAGTCCAGGAGTGGTTTCTGCTCAAGACATTTTACAGTCCATTAACTAACCCAGTTTGCTGAATATTCCACTTAAATCACATGTTAACAGCCACTTCCAGAACTAGTACAGAGTCTTGTAACTACTGCTCTTAACACTTGGCTGCCGGTTCTCTTCTCCTATTGAAGAGGTAATAAGGCTTCTTGGCATTTGTAGATATATACACTGAAAGGTTCATAGCAGGTCACCTGGCTGCATATTCCCACTGCATACCAGGAAATAGACAGTCTAAGGCAGTCATGTTTCCATTAGAAAATCTTCAACTGACAGTTATTACTTGTCTATATACATTGAGCATGTTGGCCTTCAGTAGCCTCCATTCAAGAATGCTCAAGTGATCAATTGCAAGGCAACCAAGTGGGGTAGGACTGGCTGTACGGCACAGGAGAATTTGCAAGATAGTAGTTGCTGAAGTTCGCATCACTAACATAAGGTGCTGGCTGGTAGTAACAGGTAACATTAGTGGCATTAGGGATGATGTTTTGCTCTGCCAGCACTTTGAGTGCTAGCAGAGAAATCAAGTTGAGAGTCTGCCTTCGCTCATGTCCCATGAGACAGACTGTGCTCTCATTCACCACCCTGCGCAGAATCATGAGGTAGTCATATTTGCTTCTCTCTTCTTTGGAGAAGTGGTTCTGGAGGTAGGTCTCTAGTTTGCGCTGCTGATCCAGAATGTCTGGGAAGTCTATGAAGAATCGGGAGCACATGTAGCGCTCTAATGTTTTGATCTCATCCTTATCCATGGGCCTGAAGTCTCGTACTAAGAGGTTACTATACTTCAGAAGCCCACCACCTCGGATCTCTTCAGGATTTTTGGTAGCTATCAGCTTGTTCTGGAGGTGATCAAAAGCGGCTTCAAAGTCTCCATACATGCTCTCCCCAATCACAGTTGGATGGAAGTGCTCTGACATCGGAGTTTCTGAGTAGTCATAGTAAAAGAGCAGGGAGTCCAGTATGATTTGGAAGGAGTCCACACTGAACTCAAACTGTCGTCGTATACAGTCTACAAACTTCAGCTCCACATTCCTGCCATGTTTGTTGGAAAGAGATATCAAGCTCCAGCGGTCAGACTCTGTGTACACTTTGACTAGCTTCTGGATGTAGGCTTCCTTCAGCGTTACTGGACTGATTTTTAGCTTGCTCACTCCTTCTGGCAAGAAATTCAAGAGGGATCGCAAAACCACATCTCGAACTAACTGAAACTCTGCCTCACTTGGAAGAGAAACTTGAAAAATGAGATCCAGGTCTTTGCATCCCAGCCCATTATCCTTCACCAGGACATGACCAGCTGCAGAGCCATTCAGACGGACATCATGTACCACAATGCCTGCTTCACTCAGCCTATTCCGAACTGTCTGAACAATGTCCTTCAGAGTTATCTTCAGCGTTGGGAAGTTACCTCGTCCATGGATCGGAACCACCTCTGTAAGAACCTCATGCAGACGGCTGACCTGCTCCCAGTTCAGTACACTGCATGACATGCAGTCTGTGTTACTTCCTTTGCCTGCCATCTTAAGGTTTCTCTTCTCCAAAGAAACTGTAGGGAGGTGGAATATAAAAAAGAGACAAGTCAGACTTTATGTTTACGCTTTCTAGATATATCCTATGCTCTGCTTTTCTGTCTACACAGACATGAACTAGAAAGAAATAATTCTATGTGTTAATGATTATCAGCAAGCCTTTCACCTGAAGTGATAAACAGCTGCTCTGCTGGTACAGGAAAAGTATTAGTTGTCATTGTGCTTTATTTCAGTGACGTAAAGTACTTCAGCAAAGCAGTTTTTGTCAAAGGGAAATTACCAACGAAGATGACAGAAGCTTTACCTAAGTTTAAGATCATCTGCAGCACCAGCTGAAGCCACATGAGCTGTAAGTGCAAACCACTTCTGAAAGTTAAGTTTTGAACTTGTTTCATTATACATAAAGCTCAAACTGTTCTCTCCAACTAAGACAGTGGAAGACTGTTAAGTGTTAGTTTCAGGGCTTAGACATCCAGTCCACTGAAAGCACTTTAAGTATGCCAGAGATACAAGATTTCTTCCTTTTCATAGAAGTTTTTCCTTTCTCAACCATCCAGCATCTTCCACTGATAGGATAAAGGCCACATACACCTTGCTTATGCAAAAAGCTACAGCACTTCAGCATCCTGGACAAAATTTCAGCTGCAAAGTCAGATAACTATTCAGTTTGCACTCCGGACCTTGCAAGCAACTCTTTACCCTTCTTCAGATACACTGCATAATCAACCTGCCTTTTTGGAAACAGTCATACTTGCCCCAGCCTTTTGCTCATTTGTAGAGGGCTAACAAGCCTGTAAGAGCTGGCACATATTCAGATGATGTATATCATGTTAGGGTTAGTCTTTAACACCAAGGATTTGAGAACCTCACTGACCAGACTTGGTCACAGCCTCATCTGAACTTTTGCACTTTAAGGAGTCTTGTCAGTCGACCAGATCATTCTCTTGTGCTTAAGTGGCTTGCGTTTTGAAGTATGCAGATACTTACATATGTTCTACAGTCATGCAACTCCAACTGGTATTAATACACTTTTCTCTTTTTAAGTGTTCCAGGTTTCTATTGTGGCCAGGTGCTTTCTGACAGCTACAGACCGAGGCCTCACCTTCTTGTTCCCCAAGTACTTATGAAGACTGCAGCTGCCAAGGTCAGACTAGTCAGACTTAAGCCAATTAACTCTTGCCTACCAGGAACTGTTTAAAACCCAACCATATAGTTTCCTAACATGAAACAGCACAGTGCATGGAACACTTTTTAAGCAAGATTCAAAGAGCAGCTATTGTCTTTTCACACCTGTCCTCTTCCAGCTTTTAATTTTTCAGCAGCTCATTTGACCTGTCAACTCTTCTACAGGAGAGAGTCAAATCCTGAATCAAATATACAGTAAGCTAAAAACGCTCCTGGGGAAGTAGCTTCTGTCCTTGAGTATGAGCTGCTGCACTACAAGCTCTGCTGCTGTGGGTCACATCAGCACCAGCAGGCACGAAACAAACCTGTGATTCACAAGATGATTAGTCCAGGACAAATCAAGGGGTTCTTCAAACTCAATCCTTAATGCTCCAACACAGCATAAACACAAAGGCATCAAGCCTGCCAGCAGTTGCCCTCAGGCACTTCAAGCACATTAAAGTACATTTTCATCGTGAAAACTACTGTATTTCCAGTGAATCCTTCAGATCACTAAAGACGACAAAAGTCTTCCATGACTCTTAGCTTAAGCTGCAAGTGCTTTCAGCTACTACCTCTGAAAGCATTCCCTCTCCTCCGGCCCATTTATAGCTGTCTCAGTAGCTAAGGCACCAGGGGCAGCCCACCCAGCAACCAGGAGTGACCCGGAGCAGTGCCTCCCACCCCTCCACACACACTCCATTCTGCTTGGTGATCCTCACCTAGGAGGACAACGCATGTTGCTGCCCTTGTGAGAAGAAGATGAAGTATTTCATTTCCAGTTCAGTGGAAAGTTTTATTCTCAGGCTGTCAAACCTATGAAGCCTCCCACCCCCAAATCACTCATGGTTTTGCCTACTCTGCAAGATTTACGTTAGTGACAGCAGGATCTTAGCGACTTTAATGTATCTGGGATGCTAGCAGTTCGCATGCCTCTTGTTTCACATTTTCCATCACGAGAAGATCTGACACCTGAAGATGCTCATTCACTGGGAAGATAACAACTCTGAAGTCAAGATAAGCACTACCTGTTCTTAATACCAAGCATATTGTAGCGTCACTTGGATGCAGACCTTAAATCAGGGGGAGAAGGAGCAAGGACGACACCCCTTCACTTTTGCCATGATGAAGTACACTACTCTGCAGCAGCAGTTTTTCCCCTGTAAGACATCTAACTCGACACAACGCCTAAAACAAGACGACCGTACCCCTGCGACACCACCGGGTCACAAGTCCCCTTCAGACCCCAGCGGCCCCGCAGGCGGGGCCGTCCGGTTTCCTTTACACGGCGTTTGAGCCCGCCCCGCTGCACCCTACGGGGCAATCCGCCCGGTGCGCCGCAGGCCCGGCTCCGCGCACCTGAGGCACGGGGAACTCGCCGTTAAGCCGTTTTAAATAACAACAATAACTACAAAAGCGTTACCCCTCGATGAGATTCTTCATGTAAGTGACCGTGACTCCGCCTGGCAAGCCGGCTCT